GGCCTTCGCCACTCGCACCACGGTTAACCGGTCCACCGGGCTCACTACTGCCCAGCTCAATTTTGGCAGAGAGCTTGCTTTCCCTCTCACTAACACTCTCCGTTCGACAGAGCCCAGGGCACAGGACCGCAACTACACAAAGTTCGCAGACGACATTCGAAAGCGTTTCACAATCAACCTCAAGGAAGCCCGGGAAAACCTTGACGTTGCCAAACTGCAGCAATCCGACCAGTACAACCAGGGACGCCGAGACCTGCAGTTCGAGGTTGGAGACTTGGTGCTCAGGCGCACTCACACCCTGAGTGACGCGGCGAAAGGCTTCACCGCCTCACTAGCCAACAGGGGGGATGGTCCATATCGTGTAGGCAAAAAGCTTTCCCCGCTTACATACACACTAATTCACCATTTCAGTGGTGAGTCCACGGGACCAACTCGTGTCACCGACCTTAAACAATTCCACATCCCGGAAGATGGTTTTTCGCAGGATCAGACCGATGCCGACAACGGCCCGGTCCCGGACCCCCCCTCGCCGCCACACAGGCCGTACAACCTGCGACGTCGGTGACGGCTGAGAGAAGTTGTAAAGCGATGGACAAGATTATTCTTTTTTTTTCCTTCTTTCTTTCGGGTTTCGAGCGTTGTACCTCGATCGTATATCATCCCACGGGTCTGATCGCCTTTCTGAGGGGGGAGAGGGAGAAATATTGCGCGATTGCGTGCTCACTTCATACCCTTTATCCTTTTTTTTATGCATCATAGAGCTAGGGGTTACACATGAGAGTAACCCATGGCAATTGCTCGTTCTAATTTACGAAGATGGATCACGGGCGACGCCACCACTAATCCCGGGCATCTGGACGCCAGGGTCCCAGAACACGTGGCGGTCCCAGTCACCGAGGGCGGCAAACAGCGAGGCCCACCGCACGGAACTGCGGCCAGTGGGCAAGACGTTCCACAGGCACCGAAAACTGCAACTGCCGGGGATTCCGGAAACGGCCACCAAAGGACAACCGCGACCTGGAGCGCGCCCTAGCGCCGATACAGCGCCGCCGTCCACACCCTCGACGACGACCCCCTCCCAAGGACGACCACTTCAACACTGGCATCGACATGCCAGGCGCTTAAGGGGAGGGGGGGGGGGAGTGTGGGAGCAAGAGTCTCCCACCACGGCCAGAGGCCGCTGCCGAATGCCCAAACTGGACAACGGCCGAGGCGCGCAATAGCGCACGTAGGACAGGCGCAGAAGCCTATAAAGGAGGGCACACGCCCACAGAACGGGGGGAAGACGAACCGTGGTCACGGAGGCGTGCTGTTCCAACACTCCGGCAATGTTTTATGCTTATACTGACAACCCAATCCTGTTACTCTAATAAATGTAGTTTCTCGTTATGGGAACCCCGGCTTCGTGTTGTTCCTCCCGGATGGGCATGCAGCAAGGCCACCCTACCACAACCTTTGACGATTATCCCCTCATGTAATGTCCGCCAAGCTTGATAAATACATACACGGCGGAGACTTCACTCGTCTAACCCTCATCCTTTTTATTTTTTTAAATCTGTCTGAATTAAAGTCGAACACCCCTTATATATATATATATTTTTCCTTTTTGTCGGCAGCTGTATTTCTGCAGCAAAACAGGAAATCTCATTTTGTCTCCGAGGTTGTCCTTCGCGGTTTTCTGCTTGCACAGAGACGCGCAGCAATAAAAAAAGCACCTGAAAAGTATCGATACAGGAGCAACATCAGCGTACTGACCTGTGCCACCACATACCTCATAATGGCGGGTATAGCCCGCCATTATGAGGTATTTATCATGAGGTATTTATTTCGAAATATATCACACATATACGTGCGACTATGCTTGTGTGCGACGTGACTAAGCACACGAGTCGTGTGTAGTTTCAAATTGGCTGTACTAGATGGTGCAGCATTGCTAATATGGTCTGGTGTAATTAATTGTTACAAACAAGATTTGCCAAGTGGCCAAGTGGGAATCGAACCCCGTACCATGCGATCTGCAGCCCCACGCCTTTGGCAACTCGCCAGCGAGACTTGATGGTATGGCGGCAGTGCTCTTCGAGGAACGGGAGGTCACCCTAGTTAGACAGTTACTCTACAAAATGAAGGCAGAAAACGGTGGAGGTTTCGGTGCAGTGAGCAACCTTGCAGCTCGTTTGGGCACGGCCGTGGGAAAGGGAAAAACTTGCCCGCCTTCGGTGAACTTCACCAGTTCACCGAATACGATTTAGCCGAGGATCCGAAATCTCCGGTCGGTGCCAAATTGTCGCTTTCCGAACGAATGTTTTGCTTGAGCGAGGTAACTTCTTTTCTACGGTGTCGTGGCAGCAGTGATCTTTGAAAGGGTGAAGTCTTTTTGGTGTAAAGGCTTCCGTACAAAACATGAACTGGGGCCGATTGCGGTTTCCGTGCAACAAAAAGACTAGTTGCGAGGCCAGGCATAGGAAGTTCTAACACTAAAGTATTTGTACAAAAGAAATTCGAAATAACCTCGCACAGAAATTTAAAAAAAATTCCCCCTTTTACTTTATTTCACAGAAGGGGGGGCGATCATTTGGTTTCCACGGAAAACGTGAATACTAATCACATATAACGAGTAACATAAATTAATATTAAAACTGCGAGTTGGGCTAGTTGGTTTTATGCATGGTGGTAAATACGCCATAAACACGGACAAAGAAAGAAGTACGCAGGACGAGGTTTAACTTGCAACTGAACTTTACTGAAGGAAGCATAAAAAGTAGAATAAAACCGCACAAACGAAACGATGCTGGACTTTCATTAACCACCTGGAAAGCCTGCCGTGACTGTTGAGTGACCGATAAAAGCCTGATCCTTATCGGATAAGACAACAGAAGGAGCACTGATACAGGCATTCGTGCCAAGGGCCCTTATCACGAATGCCTCATGTATCTTGCTTTCCAATTTTGTTTTAAATTTTCCCATAATCTTGGTACTATTCAACTCGGCCAGGCACTTACACCTATCACAATGAACAGCCAAGTGGCAAAAGGGGAGTGATATTTTTCTTACTTCGTGTGATAGGGCAATAGAACAGTTGGTGGTAAAGAATTACAGGCTCAAGATTTTTAGGTACGTTGACAGCTTTTTAGTTTTTAACAGAGATCCTGCAGAGGCTAACGAATATAATATGGTCTCTGGAGTGCTTGAGGTTTTTAAGAGTTTTGCGGAAAGCCTAAGTTTTATGCATGAAACAGCGAGTGCCGGGCGCCTTCAATTTTTGGACTTGGGTCTTTTCTTTGAGGGCGACCATGTGTGTTGGACGTATGACCCCCGATCAAAGAAAAAGCTGCTGCCATAGGACTGGGCCTATTCGAAGCTCGTAAAGAGGGGAATTGCCTCTAGTTATCTGCATGCCTCCTTGAAAAAATCTTTCCCTCACAACATGAGCTTTAGTTTTCAGTTGCAGCTAGACAGAATGCAGGATGTGGGGTTCCCTTCCCGGTTCTTATGTGATGTTGCTGAAGGGTTCGCAAAGAAGCTGAAGAGGCTTGTTGGAAGAGCGGATGCTGAGAGGGCAAGGCCTGAAGTTAGACCTGTTGTCCTGCTTTATGTACATACGGTTTCTCACAACCTCAAAAAGGTGGCGAATAAGTTTCGCATTCCTGTAGTTTTTTCTGCCCCAAACAAGCTTTCTAAGCTTTGCCGAAGAATAAATAATGCAGGTATGCCGGGTAATGCGCAGGGGGTGTCCGGCAAGCGTTATGCCACCAAGTATCGGCAATGTGACTTAAAGTTCACGCACGAGGTCCCCCTGCCTTGCGGTAGGGTTTATGTTGGCCAGACAGAGAGGTGCATTATTGGTAGAACCAGAGAACACTCCGCCACCACCAGGCTATCCCCGTCTGGTCACTTGGCTGTACATTGTAACAGGCGTGCGTGCCAGGCCGAGTTCATTAGTACCAAGATTATGGGAAAATTCAAAACAAAATTGGAACGCGAGATACATGAGGCATTCATGAGAAGGGCCCATGGCACGAATGTGTGTATCAGTGCTCCTTTTGTTGCCTTATCCGAAAGCAGGCTTTTATCGGTCAGTCAACAGTGACGAGAGGCTTTTCACGTGATTAATGAAGGTCCAGCATCTTTGCGAATGTGCCGTTTTATTCTTCTTTCTATGTGTTCCCTTCAGTAAAGTTCAGTTGCAAGTTACGCCTCGTGCTGTGTGCTTCTTTTTTGTCCGTGTTTGTAGGCGTATTTACCACCATGCATACATTAACAGATAATATATCGTAAAACTAGTAAGAAAAAAATTGACCTGTTAGTCATTTAGAAATTTATTAATTGCATTACTGAAATTACTAACGCATAACAACATACCACTAACGTCGTCACTTGTAACGCGTTACTTCCAACAATTAAAACACTAAGCGATGCCTAGAGCGCTGACCTTCGCGTTGAAGCTAAGCCCCGATTTTTCACCCTCCGTCATTGAACATCGGAACCTAAAAACACAAGCAGAAAATGGGGATAAAATAATCGTCCAAAAACACCCCATAGTTCAAAAAAAGCCCTTCCGAAGTCACAGAACCTTACAGACGCTTTGCAGCAGTTGTGCACTGGCGCCGCCATAACTGACCTTCAGTTTTTCTGTCCTCCGTTTACTTCGCTTTATTATTATCATAGAGGGCCAGGTTATTGCCATTTCTGATTCTACTGTGTCCTTTTCTCCAGCATTGGCCTTTATGGAAGCACTTCAGCGCCCGTTTCAGTGACCCAGTATCTTGGTACGACAAGAGAAGGTCAGCAATGGCGGATGTAATCTCACGTGTGTACAAAGCGTCTCTAGCTTTAACTCTGTGGCACTCTTATATGCCATGCACGAATTCAAAACAACAAAAATGAATAAGTTCTTGAACCACCATAATGAAGAAGCTTGCGTTTATTTTCACTTGGCAAAAGTTCGCGATTATAAACAAACATTGCAATTATATTTTATTTTAATGGCCAATCAACGCATTTCATTCTTCTAATTCAGGGGGAATCCTGATTTCCTCCAAACCTTCAGTGATATAACGAGAGAATTCACCACCGGTGAGGAAAGCTTGTAATTTCTTCCGCAGGACGTTTCGAAGATTGCCGTCCCATTTGTTTGAAAGATCGTATCGGGCCGGAGGTTTGGTCACAATAACGTTGTCCATATCTGTCATCGTGTAAGCTCCCCAATGCATTATATATCGTATATAATTCATAGAACGACCATCTGAAACAAAGCATGACTTTAATATATAACATACGCATAACTCGAAATTAATCTCGCGGAAACTCCATAGTGCAGGCAACATTTTCCACAGAGACTTAAAAAGATACTGAACTGAAATTTTGATTTCGCAGAGTAAGGCCGCAGAAGCGTTGCACGAAACGCTACGAACTCCAAAATGTCACTCATCCATCGATATTTCAAACGGATGGACGTATTCTTTGGAAAAGAAGGGCGCGATCAAGCGAGCGCGCTGACATCATTGTTCTCCTGGAAAATTTGAGAATGAGGGCAAGCGGCCTCGCTTTTTTCCTCCTCGCAATTCGGTTCACCAGCTCGACGGGACGCAGCGAGGAGGGGACGGAATGAGAATCGTGACGTGACTTATCTCACCGGCCGTGTTCGATCGACATACCTTTGTCTCAAAGAGAAAAAGTGGAAAAACCGGCGATCGCTTGTTCGCGCTAACGGTGTCGCACTCTGTACGTCTGGAATTAGAATTTTGCAAGGCGTGCAAATAGTAATAATCCTTATGGCCTCGTTCTGTATATTTAAGTCGGCGGAGTCTTTTTGGGAACGTGTTTGCAACCTCGGGCACATAAAAAAATTACAAAGAAAATAAAAAAAAAAAAAACGCACCCCACGGGTCAATGTTACTGGCCGTAATCCTTCCCCAAATAGGAGTGCAGCGGTCGCTCCGACGGGAGAACAGATGTTCTGCATGTCGGTCGCAGATTATAAGCTGCTCCTCACGGATAAATGAAAGCGTACGGGGACGTGAGATCACTGAACTCTGATTAGAATGATTGGTGCATAGACGCAAAGTTCAACGCCTGCGTCCAGCGTTCGCGTTCACCACTGGCGCCGACACACTACCACCGCCCCTTTGGCACAGTGGTATAGTGTGCGACTCATAATCATGGAGTCGTGGGCATCAAAACCGGCTAGTCCAAGTAGCACTTTTAATTTATTTCCATTTGCGTCGGGGCGTGTTCAAAATTTAGTTATCCCTTCTCAGTTAATTACTATTTCTTTTCAACTACGTCTTTTTGTTCAGATTGTCGTCCGAAGTACGTCTTACACATTTCATAGTGGTTTCCGTGGCGTTCCATCACCCTTATTTCGGGGATTATAAATTAGCGTTAGCTGCGTTCGATTTCCTTAAACTTCCAGCACCGGTGCAGAGAAGTCTAGGGAAGTCTACTTCCGGTATGTGTATTGAGATAAGACCGGAAGTACACCGCCCTACACTTTCCCACACTGGTGCAGAAGGGGCAAGTACATCAGACGAGGCTGTTACAAACACATTCTGCTAAAACCAAATGCAAACGGAGAGTTAAGTATGTAAAAATCTTGTTTATTAATTAAGGTGTTTTCTCTTGTTAGAAAAGTTTATCTTTCCAGAGTTGTGTCGACATTGATTTTTTTAGCTTTGTATCTTTGTGTCGGCGTTTTGGAGGGAACATTTGCGGGGACAGAGCGGCTGAGAGGTGGGAGCGGTTCCCCCGCGATCGTTAAGAAACGTCTCGGGTTTCGGGAGTCTGTTCGACAGATCCCTGGGACAGCCCATTCGTGGAGCTGCTTGTTGCTGTTAACCGAGTGTGCCTGGTTATAGATAGTTTTGCCGCTTAGTGTCAAATAGTCGCTTTTTGCCCGGTGTAATATTTCAGCTGTTGGCGCCAGCCAGACTGGGAAAAACGCAGGGAACGACTCTAGACGGAATTTGGTCTTAACGGTTGGAGCGTCAGACTGACAGCTCACCGATCATTGGAGAACAGTGTACCACCTGGGAATGGCGAAATTTGAAGGGATTAGTCGGTTCCTGAGGGGAAAGCAGGCCCCTACGAGCCTACAAAAGGAGTGCCAAGAAGATTCTCACGGATGGAGATTTGAATTTTGGATTCGATTTAGGGAGACTGGGGACTGGGGCCAAGCATCTAGACGAGGCAGGATGGTCTCCCAAGCTCGGACTTGTAACTAGTGTAAATAAATGCACATAGTTCTCTGCAAGCAGTGAGTCAACCCCCCGTCACTCAGCGAAGTTCGCGCCACCACGCTGCAGACCATCGGGGCGGAACGTGCCTCCCGCTCCGCCGGGAGGACCAACAACTTAACTCGGAGTGACATACTTAAATTTATAAGATGCGTGCAATAGCAAAAAAAGAAAAAAATGGAGTGAAATTAAGTGCTGACATGGGAAGCCCGTATAACCGTATTTACTGCTCGGCGTGATGGTAGCCATATTCACTATGTACAAAACCGTTTCTACCTGCCGCAATATAGATAACGTGTTAGACGTATCAATAGGAAGTTTTCGTAGACCGCGTTTCCCCCTCCGATAAGCCCTCCGCAACGAAGAAGCAGCTACTGCGCCTGCGCTCCGAAGGCCTTGGCTGTAGAGTTCCGGGTATCGTAGTGGAGGGCGTTGCAGGACGGCGAAAACGATCTACGAAAACTCCCTAATGTATCTGACACCTCGGAGATAGTGTATACACTTCAGAAAATAAAAATAAAATATTAGCATGCGAAATACAAACCTTCATAAAACATCACTATCCCTCTTGTTTCCACACGGACTATGTACTGTTTCTCATCGTCCAACCGAGGAAGTGTTACCTTGAAGTTGTCAAATTTGACGGGACACCGAAGCGCGTAGACTCGCTGACTCCATCTGGTGTCGCACTCTCCATTTCCTTTAAGCTTATAGTGCAATCCAATACCCTTAGCGAAGTTGTCGCTTCCGAGAGGAATGAAGGTGCCATTTTCATCCTGTAGGCTTGTGCCTAGAGATATATTCCAGCCTTCCCCGAGGTGTCTGTATAGGTTCCGCTGAGTCCGGAAGAGAACCTCGTCGATGAAATCTTCGAAGCTGAGTTTTTGAAGAGAACATAGACCTAGAGATAATATCGGGACTGCTTTACAAGGCGGTTGACAATGCTTCTAGTAACTTATGACTATACACCAACATGGTGCTTACTAAAAGCATGGTGCCTGCAGCGCCTCTCCGACTGGTGAGTGTAGCGTCCTACTCCGCCCATACATCAAACGTGGTCCAAAAGTGATCCCAAAGCGGTTGGTCGTAAAAATCCTGGCGAAGAGCACACTTGAACGCAAGTGCCGTTGTCGTTGCGGCGTCCCAACTTCTGGCTGCCGAAGCTTTCGCGGACTCACTGTACAGCGACCTACATCATAACAGACGTCAGCCACAACCCCTACTGGCACACCGCCGGGATCGCGACAGGCGACACCCTTGTATGACGTCACCAGGCGGAAATCGAGGACAATATTTTTGGACGCGGAAAACACACCAGTCGGGCACGCGTTCCAGGCACCATACTAAGAAGCCCGCGTTCGCCCACACAAAGTCAATGCAGTTGTGTGCGCAGAAACAAGATTCGCGTGAGAGGGAGCGTCTGTGAATGCCCAGTACCGACATCACCGACACCGCAGCGGCCTGACGTCAAAGGGTTGAGTTGGGGTATACCCTGTTGCAGGTCAAGAAAAACAGGAAAGGCTCCTCTTACAAAACCATCTTTTCTTTTCATTTTGCAACAACGAACAGGCGAGTCCCTCCTCGCCTCTCTAGCCTTCGCTCTTGTAAAGGGGGGAGAGTGGAAGGCTTTGTGATAGGAGCCTGTTTTGCTTTCAAAACGGTAGCTTTAAAGACCCAACCAGGTGCAATGTTTCTTAACCAAGGCCACCAAACGCCCGTTGGTGAAGCGATGGCGGCTGAGGCGCTCGTGACTGAAGCAATGATGGCTGAGGCGCATGTAGCTGAAGTGCCGGTGGCTGAAGTGCCCGTTGGCTCTAGCGCCCTTCGCTGAAGCGCCGGTCGCGTGAGCTGCTAAGCTTCAGTCGCGTAAGCGCCGGTAGCTGAGGCTGACATGACCTGACGTCCTTGACATCGTCCTCGACGTCGTCCTAGAGGTCCTGGAGGTCGAAAACGCGGTAGTCGTAGATGCCGTTTTTGACACAGTCCTCTCGGACGTTTTGCTAGACGTCGTCCTTGAGGTAGCCCTAGACGTCGTTCTTGACCCTACCGAAACGACCAGTATAACGTTTCGCTAAATGTAATATGGAACAGGACATAAGTCTGGATTTCAGGTTTCCATCAAGACATTCATTTAGATTTCCTGTTCCAAAATCCAGTTAGTGAAAAGTTATACTGTTTTTTTTTTTCGGTAGGGCAACCATTACTAGGACTTCTAGAACAACGTCAAGGATGGTGTCTTCGACACCGCCCTTGACGTTGTCTTAGAAGTCGTCCTAGAGGTCGTTTTGGAGGTCGTCCTAGATGTTGTTCGTGACGTCGTCCTCGATGTCGACCTATGGCCAATTCGTCTGGGCCCGCATCGCACCGGTGCAGTGCGGTTCGTGATACACGGAAGGCTAGAGGGTAGAGGGAAGCTTGCTTCTCTCCCCACCAGTCTTTCGTGTACTAAAGTGGAAAGAGTTTACTGCACTGGACGGGTGCGGTGTGCCCCAGACGAATCGGCCATTAGACACCGTCCTTGACGCCGTCCTAGATGTGTGTACGCTTTATTAGAACCATTTCATCACCGTACCTTTTCCTTTCCTAACGGTTTTCACAAACGATGTTCCCGTAAAGCTACCGCATTTCATCGCGCTTGGTAGAATGAACAAATCTACAACAATTTTTCTGACCTGCAACTGGGTAACCAAGCATGTTTAGTAAACGACGAAATGAGAAAAAAAAACGCAATCTCTGATGTGAACTACATCAATAATCTACTAATGTACGTTGCTGGGATATTTGATTCATCTCCATAATGATACTCCCGGATTCGGAAAATAAATTAAGAAAAACTGGCAACCACTCAGAGTTTAAAAACACAGCTACTGCTTTTACTTCACAAAATCACATTTACACAATCGTCCACCCTCACCGAAGGTTGCACATCCACATCTTCGCAAATAATTTTTTTCCTCACTCCCCAGTTTAATATTATGGAGTTATATAAGTAGAACATAGCGCAAAAAAGACAGGGACACGAAGTGAACAAAATAGCGCTTGTCCTGTTTACTTCGTGCCCCTGTCTTTTTGCGCTATTTTATATTTTTAGCTTCATAATAATAAACTGGGGAGTGAGGAAAAATATTAATTGTGAAGAAGTGTTAGCATAACCTCGATTGTGTAAATTTGACTTCGTGAAGTAAAAGCAGTAGCTGTGTTTTGAAGCTGTGAGTGGTTGCCCATTCTTCTTAATTTTTTCCTAGTCTGGGGGTATCATTATGGAGATAATTAACTCTCTGAAAAATTAAGAGTTTAAGAGTTTACCGTATGGCCGAAGTCTCCGCTCTAAATAGTTTGTTAGGCCTCAGATGGAAAAACATTTCGATGTAGTAAGAAGCACCGCTATACAAATAACTCTACTCTCTACCTTGCAACGTACTGGCGTTTAAATATTGAAAAACATTTTACCTCGGGCAATGCTACGAACACAACATAAATCCAATGCAACATTAATTAGAATGCATTTTCATTTGAAAACAGTGCGGTATGATTAGCTAGATGAATTTTAGAAACCTAATAAATATTATATTAAAAAATATATATAAACCATAACAAATCATGGTTTCCAAGCACTAGCCAGCAAAATACTTTCGAAAGTTAAATTGTGCTTTATCTCGGTCGCCACGCCCCCCCCCCCCTTCCCTCCCTCCCCTCCCCCCCCCCCCCCCCCCCCACACACACACACAATCAAGGAAGTTATTTTGAAGATCGTTATTCTTCCTGAAGCGAAGTCACTTTGAAGTGACTTCCCTTCAAAAGTCACACCTTGATTTTTTGACCCTGCAGTCCTGTTGCGGGCAAGGTATTTAAGTTTTGGTATGTACCAAAAACTGCTGTCTGACCAGCACAAAATAATTTAGCTATTGTGTATAACTCTACGTACCGGTAAGCTGATAGATGAAGATCACACAGAGCAAAATATTTGACCTCATGACTCAGCAGTCAGCACCCTCTTTTCCCGTAGTGCTTGAACTTCAGGTATACTATATCTACAAAAAAATGTCATATTTTGAATTAAAATTAATGCACGTTTCTGCTTTTGAGATTTTTGTTTTTCGCGTTACATTCAATTAGGCCGTTTAGAAATGAATACACTAAAACCGGACCTGACAATTGCGGCATTCGTGTTTGACTTACATTATAAAACTTTTCTAAATCTATGCAAATATTGGCCTTTCTGGATATCCTATCAAGCTGGATAATTACTGTTTTATATGTTAGACGTTGTAAATATTGGTCGCAGCTTCTTTACTTCTGTCAGTTTGTGATTGCGGCCAAGACATTATGTTTTAATCTACAAGCTCTCTGAAATTTTAATTTTAAGGCGAAACCCTTACTTGCCCCATTGAGCGAAAATTCGGAGCAGATGGCCACAAAAATGCGATTGCGCGGATACGCGCCGCTCAAACCTGTGCTGAAGGACGACGCTATCCTTGGCGTCGTCCTTGCGGTCGTCGTAGAAGTCGTCCTAAACCTCTAGGACGACCCCAATTGTCACAATACGTGAAAAACAAGGGTTGTAGGCATTGTAGGCGTTGTTCGCGAAAGATGGCAATAAAAAAAGCATTTTACAACTCCCTGCAACGCCGAATTGGAGCGCAGCTCTTGAGGAGGAGGAGGAAAAGGTACTGAGGGAAGCGTCCCTCCTCCTCCTCCTTCTTCTCCTCCTCCTCCCCTCATTCTTTAATATGCTCTGGGGGGTCACCTGACCTCGGGGGGAGGGGGTCACGTGACCTCGGGGGTGTGTCACGTGACTTCGGGGGGGGGGGTCACGTGACCGTGGGGGGGGGGGGTCACGTGACCTTGGGGGGGATACGCGACCTTTAGGTGAACTTGGGAGGGGTCACGTGACCTGGGGGGTCACGGGACCTTGAGTGACCTTGAAGGATCACGTGACCTTGGGGTGACCTTGGTTACGCCGACGCCGACGCCGCTCAAGCCGGAAACGGGCGCCTAAGAGCTGCGCTCTAAAATACGTCATCTCGCGTCATAAGCGTGATCTCATCAAGCGTGATCACACGTCATCAGCGCGATGTCACCGACGGAGCGCCGTTTGCAAAAGGTGCGCTTCGGACTTCATCTGTGCTCATTCTGTGCTTTGTGCGATGGACTGTGAGGCGACCGCGTGTACATCTACGTCAAATACGCCACAGCCTCCTTAAGTGTCCTTGTCTAGGCATCGTTCTCGACGTCGTCCTAGAGGTCGTCCTAGAAGTCGTCATAGACGTCTTTCTTGACGCCTTTCTAGAGGTCGTCCTAGAGGTCGTCCTAGAAGTCGTCATAGACGTCTTTCTTGACGCCTTTCTAGACGTCGTCATAGAGGTCATCCTAGAAGTCGTCATTAAGGTCGTCCTCAAGGTCGTCCTTGAGTGACATTCGCCTTCCCGCACGTAAGCAGTCTTAAGTGTACTCGTGTAATATTTTTGCGTTGCACAAATGTGAGGTTTTAACAATACTGTAAGGTCTGGCGTCATTGTTTATCGCTTTCTCGGCGTGCTCTATGTGTTGCCGGGCGCCGCCACCTTCGCTTTCGTGACTAATGCATCCCCGTAAAGAGATTGCCCTTTGCGGGAAGCTGGCCGGGGTGTCATGTTTCCTCTCCGTGCTCTGATGGATGGACGAGCAGCATTGCATTCCGGAGTGCCAAGGTTGTATGAGAGTTGCGCAAGACCTGATATCAGAACCGACGAATGGCAAAGCCTCTGAAGGAGTGACGTTAGTTGCGGAAAATAGCAAAGCCTCTGAAGAAATGATGTCAGTTTTGACGAATGGCGCTGGAGAAAAGTGATGACAGTGTTCGGAGCTTTTTTTCTATGTTCTTTCATTTGGGAAGATTGTAAGCAGCGCGTATGCGCTGGTCTTTAAGCGTTGTCTTGACTGAAAAAGGGGTTCTTGTCTGGAGCTAGGTGGGCAGGCCTCACCTCGAGTAGCCGCGGAGAGGGTCCGCGGGGCGGCCAGAAAGTTCCCTTCCTGCTTTGTAAAAGGTGCTGTATCGTGATTCCCTGTATATAAAGTATACCTACCCCATACCAAACCTCACCGAGCCTTCTCGCTGATGACATCGGGGGTCCGTGGCGCATTGAGAAGATTAAAGAACCATCTACTAATACTGAATAATTATTAAGAATTTCAACCGACATAAATAAAACGATGCTTGAAATATCATTTCAAAGGATTAAAATGTCACTTCGTTTGCAACTGGATTTGGAAAGAACGCGCACCTTATACTTGGTACGCGTCCCCCAACTCATTGTTACAGTGATGATGAAAATGATTTACTGTATAGTGAAGGAAATATGAAATAGATATATTGTCGTTAGCCCTTCAAAACGTGCACCCCGACATCGTCTTTTTATTTTTTTTTTTTTTTTTTTTTTGCTGCCTGCCACATTTGTTTTTGACCTGCCACATTCCGAGAGGCCTTGATGATCCGCTTCTGGTGCCGCCAAGGGAGATTCCGCTGAGTCAGCCGAAAATGCTGGGGTTCCACAAACTTCTTCTTAGGCAGAGCCCAAAGTAGCTCATATCCATCTGGAGCTCACTCATATATATGAGTGACCTCCGGACGGTATCTCGGTAGATGCGGTGCTGGAGCTTCTGACGTGCTATCTGAAGGCAACTGTGGTTAACTTTAATGGTGACTGTTATATACAGCGGAAAGGTGGGTGCATTGGTTCGGCGGTGGCTACAGTGTTGACTGAGTTTTATCTTAACACTCATGACAAGAAAATAGCAGATTTTGTTGGATCTTTGGGTGTTGAAGGGGTTTTGGTTCAGAGGTTTGTTGATGACATCTTGGTTTGTGCTCCGAATCAGCTTTCTGCTACTGAGATCCATGACCTTATTTTACCGCTGCACCGGAATTGAAATTCACCTCTGAGTCAGCGAAAGATGGAAAGTTAGAGTTTTTGGACTTGCAACTATTGAATAAAAAGGGGATTTGCTGGTCTTATGGGAGGGAAAGCGTGCAGAGGTTTCTTTCTAGATGGAGTGCTCATTCTAAACATGTTAAAACGGGGGGGGGGGGGGGGGGGGGGTGAGATCACTAATTGGCAGTGCACTGAAGAAATCTTGTTTTCATGTGTTACGAACACTTTCGCCGTTCAAATCAACTGTCTACTGTCGGCGGGTTATAGTTTAGATTTTATCGTTTCTAGTGCGTGTAGACTACTTGTACGCACATCGGTGACCGCTAAGAGGGTTCAAGGTGGAACCTTTGCTGTGATTCCTTATTTTCGTGGTTCTTCTCATAGCCTAAAAGCTTTGAATGCAAACTTTAACGTAAATGTTATTCTTAAGACGGACTTTCGTTGAGACAAGCTCACCCCATTTGCCTTCAGACGTGTGGGATGTTGCGGAAGAAAACACAGAGATCCCTCAGTCTCCTGTGTCACAGAGGTGGTCTACAAGATCCCCTTTGACTGCGGATTGTGTTATGTTGGTCAGACAGGGCGTTGTTTGAATGACCGTCTTACGGAACATGAAAGGAGTGTAAAAAATAGGGTCCAGAGTTCTGAGTTGGCAAATCATGTTAGTTCTTGTAATTTTTGTTCCCTTCCTTGGGATGAAACTTCCGTTCTGTGTAACGAAAATAATTGTTTAGAAGCCTAATTAAGGAGACTTTTCCGCATTCGCGAGTGTTTTTGCTTGTGTGAGAGGGCTTTGTAAACTTGAAGGGGGGGGGAGGGAGAGGGGGAGGGGGAAGCAAATCGGGAAGCTTTTGCTTGGAAGTAGGAAATGGAGATTAGGCTTTAGCGTTTTGAAGGTCGCCTTCCCTGTTGACCTTGGGGTTGTTGTTCGGGTGGTCGGCTCCCTTTCCGAAAGTGCTGGAGCCGGGGAGTGGCTCAGGCTGTCTGGGGCGAACTCGTTGGTCCTCTTGTTCATGCGTTTGAGTTATTTTTGCCCTTTCTCTTTTCCTTTTGTCTGAAAGTCTATTTATTGGTGTACTCATATCAATAAAATTCAGCTGCGTCTGAGATTTTGTTGTGTTCGTCCGTTTTTTTTTTTTATCGTTCCCCATCTCAGGGTTTACAAGATATCGAAAAAATATCACCTCTGAAAGCACGCACTGAGTGGAAATCGCATTGTCGCTAGCCTCGCACAAAGCGGAAGAAGGGGGAGATCGAGAGCGTTCTCGTAAAGAAGATTTCATCAAGCCTTACTGCAGCACATGGAGTCATGGATGAGCCTGGGGCCTCGGTACAAAGCTGCAACATCTGTCCGGAGTTGTTCAGCGACCTGAGATATGCGTTCGATTCTTCTGATTCGGGTACCAAGAACGATGCCGTCTCCTGACCTTAATCCCGAGGAATCTCTCCCAGCAAGCGATACAAAAGATGATTCCTTCAGTAACTCGCCACCTGATCCAAACAGCAAGGAAGAACCAAGAGACACTCGGCGCGTGGTCAAAGCCTGATCCCTACACAAGAATGAGGCTGAGTCAAGTGGACATTCAGGCGGCAGTGAATTATTACACTAGAGATAAACTCAACTGCTCCTAACAAAGCCCGAAGAGAAAAAAAATATGTGTCAAAACGTTTTAGGACAACGTGTATTTGTGAAAGATTCCGGTTGTTTAAGGCGGTTCACCCTGACACGGCCATTGGGCTCACCAAGGTCTACTCAGTGAGGCAAAAGTGAGTGCTGTGCATATCTTGGCACGATGTTTGCGTGTGTACGTCTTGCGCTAACATCAAACTAAGTGTTTGTGTCGTAGGAAAAGCCACTGAAATAATAAGAAGTGCTGAAGACATTCGTGAATTGACGATGTGTGACATTCCATCTACGAAGTGTTTCCTCGGCCAGCGTAGCTCATGCCCAACAGCTAAAGCTCTTACTGCACCTGGCCTGGAAATTCCAGATGATGATGAAGTGTTGTACGCGGCCTAGGAAAAAGGAGAGCTGACAAGAAAAAGACAAAGGTAATGTCCCG